CCACATCGGGCTCCCTTGTCGGCGGGGATTCTGCTTCTCCTTCTCCCTCTGCCTCTGCCCTTCCCCCCTGCTCATGCTCTCTCTCTCATGCTCAAATAAATAAATAAAATCTTTAGGGAAAAAAAAAAAGCTATAGGAGTGCCTGGGTAGCTCGGTCAGTTAAGCACCTGACTCTTGATCTCAGCTCAGGTCTTGATCTCAGGATCATGAGTTCAAGCCCCATGCTGGGCTCCATGCTGGGTGCGAAGACTACTTAGTAAAAATGAATGAATGAATGAATGAATGAATGAATGAATGAATGAATGAATGAATAAATAAATAAATAGCTATAAAGTTCAGAAAATGTCCTAATTTAGGCATGGAGTCCACATTATCCCTTAATTAACTCGGTAAAGTCCATCCTTACAATTCACTACCACTGATTTCACACCTGATGAAGCCAGGTCTTGAACAATTCACAGAGGTAGGAAATGGCTCTCTGAAAAGGAAAGAATAAGGCCAACTGGACATTACTGTACATGAGCCATGTGCTTCAATCCTCGCTCAGGCATCTCTGAAGGCAGTCGGAATGACTTTCATCAAAATGAAGGAAAGTAACATTACGCAGTAGCAGAAAGGCAGGAACTATTATATAAACATAACCAAAAACCACACCAATCTGTCAACTTTTATTTCCAGAAAAAACACTAATTTAGGAAATAGATGGCACTCTCATTTATTATAAGCACAGGCTATGATATGAAAAACTCTCTCTAAACTAAATTGATGTGTTTAAAACTTCCAAGACTTCCACGGGAATTTGCACAGGATGCTCATTCTTGGATCTCTCCCCAGAACACTAGAAGACATTCCCACCGGGCGCCTGGGTGGCTCAGATGGTTAAGCATCTGCTTTCGGCTCAGGTCATGATCCCAGGGTCCTGGGATCGAGTCCCGCATCGGGCTCCCTGCTTAGCAGAGTGCCTGCTTCTCCCTCTGCCTCTCTCTCTCTCTCTCTCCCTTTCTCTCATGAATAAATAAATAAAATCTTCAAAAAAAAAAAAAAAAGACATTCCCACCAAGTATGTAAAAGGAAACTTTTACTGAGTGCTGCCTGACCTGAACTTGAGTCTTCTGCAAATTCAATCTCATGGTGTCTGGGTAAGAAAACGATAAGAAGAAAACTATTAGGATTATTAGTAACTAATGACAGCACTCCTAGATGGGGGGGGGGGGTGTTCCTATTTTTTTCAAGTGTCAATTTATTGCTATGGCTTTGGTTAATTATCTGGTTATTTTAACACCATCATCTGCATCTAGTTAATTCTAAAATGATACTCACAAAGCCAAGTTCCCTTCAGACCACTTAACTCCATTAGTCTTCCATGACCCTAAAGCTATTAAACCACATGGAAAATGCATGCCCCATGGGAACCAGGTGAGAGATGAAGGATGAAAACTCATGGAGGAAGAGGATCCATCAAACTGCAGGATAAGTAAGAAGTAACACAATCACAGCTTTTTAAAAAGCCCATTTTCTTACCAGTATGAACACTAATATAACATGACTTGTACTACCAATAAGATCAGCACTAAACGTAATTTAATACCTTAGAATAATAATAACAAGCATACCAAAACATACTTCATCTCTTCCAAACTTTTGAAATACTTTTTCTCACAAGATCTTACAGTAGGATTCTTTCAATAAATCATGGTGACACACAAACTCAATACTTAGTAAGCATACTGCAGACCAGCAAATTCTACCATAGAGGTTAAGTGACCACCAAAACAGAGATGGAAGACAGCCTTGAAATTCCTACTCTTACCTACCTATTTACTTAGCTACTGCTTATTAGTAGTCTAAGACTTTTGTTTCCTATCAACTGCCATGAGGGGCGCCCGGGTGGTTCAGTTGGTTAAGCATCTGCCTTCGGCTCAGGCCATGATCTCAGCGTCCTGGGATCGAGCCCTGCATCAGGCTCTCTGCTCAGCAGGGAGTCTGATTCCTCCTCTCACTGTCCCTCTGTTCTGTCTCTCTCTCTCTCTTCCAAACCAGTCAGTCAATCAATCAATCTTAGCATCAACTGCCCATGAATCTAGCCAAAGATTGCTTAAACATAATATAGCTTCTTTCTATAAGGTGAGAAAGGACAAACACACATGAAATATTAATACATTTCATGCAGACTTGTCAACTTAATAAAAGAAATAGAAACAACCCGCCAATAACAGATTACAATCATAACTCATTTCAACTGAGTCTATTCCTACTCACAATTGGAAAATTGGCTTTTTCCAAATATAAAGTCCTTTCCTTTTGGCTACTTTACCTATAACTAAGGTCCAGTGAGAGGATATGAAATGGTCACTTCATAAAAAGTGAGGAAAATAACAGTATCTCCTAAGGGCGCCTGTGTGGCTCAGTCAGTTGTGTTGGACTCTTGATTTCGACTGTGGTCATGATCTCAGGGGTTGTGGGATTGAGCCCCGCATCAGGCTCCATGTTTAGCAGGGAGTCTGCTTGAGATTCTCTCCCTCTGCCCCTTCCCCTGCCCTCTCTTTCTCTCTCTCTCTCAAATAAATGAATAAATATGAAAAGAAAAACAAAAACACAGTATCTCCTAGTTCAAGGATACTTCTTCTGTCCTTTTCACAACAACTCCACTTCTAAGTTCTTATTAATGATACTGCCTTTGCTTATGCATGAATTTGAATAACTCTTTAAGCATTTCACCCTACTATTCATCCTGACAGCACAATGACACTCTCATTTCTTTCAAAACTATCCAAGAAATAATCAACAGAAGTATAACATACCGACTTCGATTTCTCCCACTGCTTCTTAAACTTTTACTGAATAAATAAATAAACCTGATGGTCACTCTAGTACTTCCCAACCTTTTCCATTTCATGGCACACATGAAAATCACGTTTCTAAGGACAGTGGGGTAACTATCTGAAACACCAGGTGGCCAGAGGCGATCAGCCAAGCACCCCGCGCTTGGACAGCTACCTGGCTGCCTGAGAGCTCAGAGGGGAGATATTCTTGGCACACCTGAAATGCACTTACACCATTTCAGCATTCCCAGAACACTGAGAAGTTCTCCACTACATTTTTTGCCTATTTAGCATATTCCCACTTTTATTTCCAGGAAACTATTTTTCCTTTGGTGAATCATCCCATCCTCAACCCACATGATCCTGGTGGCACAGACAATTTCAGGGCTGACACTTCACCCACTTCCATTCTACCCACGATGGCCAATTAAAGTGCATTAAAGTGTCCCATTATCCTGCCGTAATGGTTGATTCAGTGTGGGCACATGACCCAACAAGGTCAATCCAAATACCTCTACATCTCTCTTCCTTTTGGACGGAATATAAGGTTAGAAGGCTTTGGGCTGCCAGCCAATTCACAGAGGAAACAAAGGAACTATACAGTGAATATACTATCTAGGCCATGCTTGAATTAAATTCTGGAGCTAATAAAAGCTATTTAAGACAGATGTGTCTCTGTTACTTATAACCAAAAGTATCATCCTAGAATTTCAAAGACCAATGCATTTCCTGAGTATCAACACATAATTTGATGTAATATATTGTTTTACATGAGTGGCATACAGAGGTCGGGTAACTTACTATAGCACTTCTTTAGATAATCTCCAGGCATTATCTATGCATTAACTATTATAAAGATATTATCCTATAAGGTGTCTGCACTGAAACAAAGCATTTATTAGAAGCATTTATTATAGAAGGTGAAGGGAGAAATAAAGTGGGAAACAAAGTGAAATGATTCACATTATGCCCACACCGTATATGACACAAAGGTACTTTGAGAACATCACAGATCCACGTGGAGAATCAGACCACAGGAGGTCCAGTCAGAAGGAAAACTTTTTGTGACCAGCAGTTGTTTACTTGAGTAAAAGGAATGAGCATGACAAGTTGGGGATAAAAAGAATCCAAATACATTAACTTCATATCTTGGATAAACATATTTATCCCACCTCTACAACTAAATTATTTTCTAAAGAAACACAAATTTTCCATAAAGAGATGAACTTTTTCTTCACCGTGTTTAGAAAGAAGCATAAGCACATACCATAGCTATTTGGTTAGGAAACCCTTCCCTTTGGTCTACCCAATGGGAAAGAATTAGATTATTTTACCAAATATATGGTTAGTTTAAAGGGGGGGGGGGAATCTTATTAATGTCTGATAGCTTATTACACTCCAAGTTCTGTGCAGATAGGAAAAATGATCATTTACCCCCATATCCCAGCATGTTCAGCATTACCATACATAGCAAGGACCCAGGATTCTTTAGTTTATTAAAGACTGAATGAAGATAGGATCAAATTGCCAAAAGTCAAAAAGAGATGAATGCCTACTGCATAGCCATCTTTACCCTAAATTAATCTGCATCCACTTTAAAAGATCAATATTAGGGGTGCCTGGGCAGCTCGGTCGGTTAAGCATCTGCCTTCGGCTCAGATCGTGATCCCAGGGTCCTGGGATGGAGCTCCATGTCGAGCTCCCTGCTCAGCGAGGAGTCTGCTTCTCCCAATCCTTTTGCCCTCCCCTCCCCCACATCTGCGCTTGCTCTCTCCCTCTCTGATAAAATCTTTTTTAAAAAATAAATAAATAAAAATAAAAGACCAATATTAGAACTAAGGGATATTCACCTTGGAATAGGCTACAAGAGTCAACAAAAGTGTTAACAAATGAGCAAATCTACGAATAAACCATAATACCAGAATAGCATCATGTGTAGATTTCACAGTGAAATGTGGTTTCATTAAAGAAATGTTTGCATGAAGTACTCATTAATTCAGAATAAGGACAAAAAAGAACAAATGGAGAAGATAAAAATAGCCCCCCAAATTCCCCCCAAAAAAAGAATCAACCCATAATTTAAAACTTTGATCAAAATAATCCACAAACGAAGAATAATCTACAATCCCAAAAGTTAAGCTTTACCCCCATTACTGTTGCATTATTTTCTTACTTTACCTGAGAGGAATCTGCTTGGGCTAATAATGTAGTGACCTTCAGTATCTGGCGAAGATTCTGTCCTTGATCTTCAACAAGGAGGTGAGCCAACAAAAGGAAAACATGCACAGGGATCACTGTGGTAATAGGGAGCAAGGACTCTATGGAAAACAGCCAGTCACTGGCCGCAGACTCTTCTCTCGTTACTTCAAGGATCCTCCAGGCTGTAAATATTGATCCATACATGCTGGTTATGGGGAACGCGAGCTTGTAGGAGAGCTGAAAAACCAACAAAAACAGGCATGAATAAATGAGGTAAGTATATCTGTCAGAGATATAGTCATGTATTTTTTATACTTCATTGTAAGAAATCAATCCTTCCCACAAAGTACAGAATTTTCGATTTCTGCCAAAAACTCCTGTGCACATATCTGAGCTAATAGGATTACACCAAAAGAAAACAGATGGAACTCTAGAACACCTGATTTCAACCTATTTACCATTCGCTCCTAGTTAAGGCAAGAAAAAAAAAAAAGGATCAATATACAAGGTCCAGAGGCAATGGAGTTTGAAAAAAAAAAAACAAACCTATTAGCACTAAAGTATTCACCAGTGAGAGGGAAGATATTTTTTAAGATTTTATTTATTTATTTATTTATTTATTTATTTATTTATTTATTTATTCATTCATTCATTCATTCATTCATTCATTTGAGAGAGAGAGAGTGCACACACAGGGGGTGGGGAGGTTGTTGTGGACAGAGACTCCGCACTGAGTGTGGAACCCAATACAGGGCTCAATCCCAGGATCCCGAGATCATGACCCAAGCCAAAAATCAAGATTCGGAGGCTCAACCAACTGTCCCACCCAGGTGCCCCGTGAGAGGGAAGATCTTAAAAAAAAAAAAAAAAAAAAGTCACTGTATTTGCCCAGCTCCAGCTCCAGTAAGACACAACCCCGGGCAGGTGGCAGACCTGGACTGAAGAAAATTCGTTTTTATAACAGACAGTATGTTGACAGGAACAGCATTGGTTCAGCTGGAACCTGGGAATTAATAGCTGGGAATAACTTCTGCAATAAGAAATAGCCTGACAGGGGCACTTGGGTGGCTCAGTCGTTAAGCGTCTTCCTTCAGCTCAGGTCATGATCCCGGGGTCCTGGGATCGAGCTCCACATCGGGCTCCCTGCTCAGCGGGAAGCCTGCTTTCCCCCCTCCCGCCCCCCCTGCTTGTGTTCCCTCTCTCACTGTCTCTCTCTCTGTCAAATAAATAAATAATAAAAATCTTAAATAGCCTGAAAGCTCTAAATTGAAAAGATACCCAAAGAAGAGGTTATGCTTAAGTTGATCTGAGAAAGGACTCCTCATGGAAATAAAGTAGTGCCGTCAGGGACAGAGAATAGACAGAACTCTGCCAAGGTGAACAGTGTGCCCACATGGCTCAGGAGAAGTCACAGACATTAAAGAAGCTTTAAATATTGCCTGCTAATAAAAAGATTCAATTCATTCAGAGTGTGATGAAACAAATTAGAAATATCTAGATTATAACTGTCCTGTTATGAGAGACTGACTTATATGTATACAGAACAACTGAAAGGATGGGAAGTAAAAATTAGGCTAGATAGGGGTGCCGGGGTGGCTCAGATGGTTAAGCATCTGCCTTAGGCTCAGGTCATGGTCCCAGGGTTCTGGGATCGAGCCCCGCATCGGGCTCCCTGCTCAGCGGGAAGACTGCTTCTCCCTCTCCCTCTGCGTCTTGTGCCCCCTGCTTGTACTGTCAAATAAATAAATAAAATCTTTAAAAAAAAACCTAAGCTTTATTAAAAAAAATGTTTTTAAAGTAGGCAGCACACCTAGCATGGGGCTTGAACTCATGACCTTGAGATCCAGTTGCATGTTCTACCGACTGAGCCAGCAAGGCACCTCTGAAATTTTTTTAAATAACAGCTTTATTGAGATACAATTCACATACCATAAAACCCATCCTTTTAAAGTTTACGACTCAGTGACCTTTAGTAATTCATGGCATAGTAGAACCATCACCATGGCTAATTTTCATTACCCCAAAAGGAAACCCCATACCCATTAACAGTCACTCCTCATTCCACCACCACCACCCTTGCAGCCCCAGGCAACCACTAATTAATCTACTTTGTTTCTATTCTGGCTATTTCATATAATAGTGTTTTCTGGTGACTGGCTCCTTTCACACAGCAGGTTTTCAAGGTTCATCGAGGCCGTGGATTGTATCAACATTTCATTTCTTTTCATTGGCAAATAATATTCCATTGAATGGATATACCACATTTTTATCATTCACCAATTAATAGACATCAGGTTGTTTCCACTTTTTGGCTATTATGAATAATGCTGCTATGAATAGTCCTATAAAAGTTTTTGTGAGGACATAGGTGTTCAATTGTCTCAAGTATATGCTTTAGAGCAGAGATACCATTTGAAAGTAAACCACTGTAAAAACAAATGAGGAAGCTATCTTTATTGACATGAAAAGAGCTCTCATGAAAATACAAGATGCAGACATTGTGCCTGGAATGCTACCAATTATTTTTTTAAAGGGGGTGGGGACGATATATTTATATTTGCTTATATATGCAAAGAAAGTTATGAGACAAATACAAAAGAAATTAATAGCTACTAATTTTCCATTTGAGAGGATGTGAACTGGGCAACCAGAATCAAGGGTGAGAAGGAAACTTCTCATTGTATACCATTTTATAATTTTTTGAACCACTTCAATGTGTTATAATTTTTTAAAATAAATTTTTTCTAAGATTTATTTATTTGACAGAGAGAGACAGAGAGAGAGAGGGAACACAAGCAGGAGGAGTGGGAGAGGGAGAAGCAGGCTTCCTGCTGAGCAGGGAGGCTGATGCACGGCTTGATCCCAGGACCCTGGGATCATGACCTGAGCCAAAGGCAGACGCTTAACGACTGAGCCACCCAGGCACCCCTAAAATAATAAATTTTTAAAGTTAAATATTTACATTTATTATAGCTCTTTCTCTCTAAAAATACTTCCCCAACCCAAAGATGAAATTCACTGAAGACCAGAGTCAAGTTCTTCAGACAAAGGACAAACAGCATTGGACTTGAGATTTAAAAGACCAGGACTTTAGCAGAGCCATGCCAGCTAGAGGCTATTATAATACAATCTCGGAGCCTCACTTTGCTCATTTGCAAAATGGAAGTAATGACTACCTTCCTACCAAGATTATTGAGGTAGATAATGACACAATAAAGCACCTAGCACAGTCTCTAAAGTTGCAAAATACAGATAAATATGATCTGTCATCTTTTGGAGAGAAAAATAAAGCTGGTGGATAGGAGTATAAAAGAAAGTAATTGGAAATCACCATCAACCATAAATTGAGTCAAAAGCAGCAACATTACCCAGACAGGTAAGAGTAAACATACTGAAACAGGAAAGTAATCCTGTTTTACTTGAAGTATTACGTTGATGGTTAGGCTCTGTTTTTTGTCTGTTTGCCTAAGGTTCGAACAGCAGGAGAAAAACACAGTGTTGAATGAGACATCCCAGAACAGGGTCTCTGTCCCAGTGGGTGACAGTTGCCCTTGGCACAGTCCCAGGGCAAGGATGCGGCCTGGGGCTTTCTCTGAGCACCAGCTACCAAATCCTGGCCCCACAGCCCCCACGGGGGGTGGGGTGGGGGCGCTGAAAGTGCTAGCGGGCTCTGTGTTTTAGAGGAGAAAGCAGGTGTTTAAAAATAAAGGAGGTTTATGTTAGGTGAATTACATCTCAGTAAAAAAATGCAAGAGACAAGACACCATAAAAAAATAACATTTAAATTAGTATTAAATGGTTGTAAAACATCTTTTACAGATATTAGTTGAGAATCTTTATTCGAAAAAGCTCGTAATAAAAATGTTCAAGTCTGTTAAGTGTTAACAATAAGACAGGTATCTGATAGTACTTCTTTGCCTAAAGGAGTCTGAAAAAGAAATTGTGTGTTCAGTGAACAATACAGATTTTCATCAACTTTAAAGAATAATACTCATCTACGGCACCCTGGGTGGCTCAGTCGGTTAAGCGTCCGACTCTTGGCTTCAGCTCGGGTCATGGTCTCAGGGTCCTGGGATGAAGCCCCAAGTAAGGCTCCATGCTCAGCAGGGAGTCTCCCTGGGACCCTTTCCCTCTGCATCTCCCTCTGCCCTTTCCTCTATGGTCCTACTCTCCCAAGCACTCTCTCACTCAAATCTTTAAAAAAAAAAAGAATAAAACTCATCTGTAATAGTGATGAAAATAGGCTTAACCAAAGTGGAGCCAGGACTTGATCAGGAGAGGGAGTATGGAAACTCAAACCTGGAGCCCCTTGAAAGGAGGACAGATTTTTGCTAGAAGGGATTTAATCACTCACCAGAGCAGAAGCAGAAGACTGGACTAGACAAAGCCTCAAGAGGCTCTTTCTGCTCTATACCTCTATAAAGAATCTAGTCAAGAGTGGAAAGGTTTGGGAGGGCTGCTTATCACCAAAGGACAACCCACACCGTTCTCAGTATCCATGTTATTCAGAAGACGATGGTAGATGTACAAGATCTAAAACTTACTAACTCCTTTTAACTTCCAACCAGAAGTTTTTAAGAAGCCAGTTTATTTTAATGTACTATGACTTAGTGTTAGCCTGTAAATCTGCAACTGTTCTATTTACTTGCAAGTTCAGCACAAAGATGACAAATTACCAAAAGAAAAAATCAAACTGGAGCAGTAGGATATAGGCTCTATATTTAAACAGTCAAAAATCTGAATCTCAACTCTATCCTTCACTACCTGTGTAATTTGGGCAACTTAACCTGTCTAGCCTCAGGTTCCTCACTTGTCAAGGGAGTATTCTAAGAAGTCATCAGGAAAATGCAAATGAAAACCATAATGAAAAGGTACTTCACACCCGCCAGAGGCAAAAACAGAGGCAATGACAAGTGTTGGCAAGGATGCAGACAAACTGGAGTCTTCATACACAGCTGGTGGGAACGTAAAATGACATAGTCCCTTTGGAAAACAGTCTGGCAGTTCCTCCAACAGAGTACCGTATGATCTAGCAATTCCACTCCTAGGTATCTACCCAAGATAAATGAAACCATGTCCACATAAAAACTTGTATAGGAAGGTTCATAACAGCACTATTCATAATAGCCAAAAAGTGAGAACAACCCAAAAGTTCATCAACAGATGAATGGAAAAGTAAAATGTGGTGTATATCCATACACTGGGATATTATTCAGGGATTTCTCCTACTGTGTCTGCCAGGTGGCATTCAAGAGACCCCAGCAGGTGTCTTCCTGTGGAGGACACAGGCCATCCAATTCACACCCCAGGGGGTGACTTCCTACAGACCAGCTCTGGCCTGAGGCACCCCAGAGAATGTCACCATCCAGCAAGCCACCGCCACATTCTTTCTACAAGGTCTGATCTCAGTCTTGAGTAGGGAGAACCTCTCCATTCCTTCCTGGGGTAATCAATCTCTCCAGTCCTAGAAGTAGTAGCTGCTCCTTACTTTTATTAATGCAATATTCCTTAGAGCCTCTTTTATAACTTTTAGTCATTGGAGACCGTTTACTAGTTAATAATTCTTTGTATTAAGTTTTTCTTTGTTCAAATTACCAGCACAGTCTCTCTCTCCTGCCTAGACCCAGACTCATACCCTGGTGCTTTCTTTCTCCCCCCACATTCTCTGGGGGCTGGGGCACAAAGATTTTAAGCACGTTAGAATTTACAACTAGTGTCTGGATATTTTTTTTTTAGCCTATGAAAACACAAATAGGTGGTTTTAAATATCACATTTAATAGCCTAATAGAAGGAATCCTGTTTTCCACACACCACTAAAAAATATTAAAAGCTTATTAGATTATGTTAATTTTTAAAAGAAGATGAGTGGTTGTTTTGATAGCTTACATTTTTTAATTCTTAGAAATTGGAAGTTAAAACGTGTTTCATTTCATGGTTATCAACACTTCAGAAATGGATAGGGAATACAGAATTGTGTGGTACAGAACATTTAACCTTATTTTCATTCCCCAGAGGAATTGTGCTTCCTAAGAAGTGCTCTAGTTCTGGGGCGCCTGGGTGGCTCAGTCGTTAAGCTTCTGCCTTCGGCTCAGGTCATGATCCTGGGGTTCTGGGGTCCTGGGATCGAGTCCCACATCGGGCTCCCTGCTCGGCGGGAGGCCTGCTTCTCCCTCTCCCACTCTCCCTGCTTGTGTTCCTGCTCTGGCTGTCTCTCTCTGTCAAATAAAAAAAAAAAAAAGAAGTGCTCTAGTTCTAAATCAAACATGCTAAGTCAGAGTCACCCAACCAAAAAGAAATAATAAAAAGCAACAAGATCTGTGTTTTATACAAAGGTCTTTCTATAATATGTGAAGATGGTAAAACAATCTTCCATATCCTTATGAGAAGCACACATCCCTCAGTGAATAGAAATTTACTGAATGTCTATCATGTGGTAAACAATGTGTCAGGTGTTGGGGATGCAAAGTTAAATAGATAACACCCTAGCTTAAAGTATGTGGAAAATCAGAGTATTCCATTAACAACTGGCTAAAAGACTTTGAATGCTCTCATCTATGATCATGTGACAACGATAAAGCAAAAACACTCATGTGGAAAAAAACACAAAAAGTTCAACAACTGTTGCAATTTCAATTTCAACATGCTTAGAAAATACAGGCCAGGTGTGAGAAGGGCCAAGAGCCTTTCCCTCAATGAGTTTGCAGAACATATACGAAGCCCTCTTACTTAGGATACAACACAACTGAGTAATATTAAAAGAGCTGGGGATGCCAAGAAGAAGGTCATGAATTTGGACTCCAGGAGGCTGAGAACATTTGGCTGGGTCTTGAGGAATGAGCAGTCAAGGCAAAGGAGACAGAAGAGCATTGTGAGCAAAAGCAAAGATTCAGAGAGAGACGTGGAGAGTTTGCATCCTGTTAAATTTATAGGTGTGTTTGGAATATAGAGGCCTGGACAGGCGTGGAAGAAAAGCCAACAGCAAACTGTGGCTTGCAATTTTAAAAACGGTGATCATGTCTCCACTCCAAGCCTCCATAAAGCAGCACGTTATCATCAGGAGAATGTTTACAGCCCTAATAGTATCCCTTCCTCTTCCCCCTACACAAGCTGCTGAAGAGAAAGTCCAGCTATTAGTGTTAATGAGTAAGATTCACACACGTGAGCGAATAGTAAAGCGAGTGCTCATGAATTAGAGTCAGGGCGACTCTCAGTAAGTATCACATGTAAGCTGAAAGAACGGAACTCTCAGATATCAGTACATCCTGCCCTGTCCCCATGCCCATCCAGAACTCAATCAGGAGCAAACCACAACAGAAAGTAAAAGGCTATTAGAAAATTTGGGCCACATTCTGTCCTATCGGGGCAGAGGCAAAAATTTCCTTCTCTTAATGCAACTCAGTTATCTACTTTAAGTTTGAAAGTTTTAGACAAGCAATTAGGAATTCAGATGCTGTAGAGTATGGTCAATTTGCCTATAGGCTAGCTTCTGCTGCACCCTCAAACCAGGAATTACAGTGCCTGTATTTTTTTATTATTATTATTATTTTTATTCTTATGTTAATCCCCATACATTACATCATTAGTTTTAGATGAAGTGTTCCATGATTCATTGTTTGTGCATAACACCCAGTGCTCCATGCAGAATGTGTCCTCCTCAATACCCACCACCAGGCCAACCCATCCTCCCACCCCCCTCCCCTCTAGAACCCTGTTTGTTTTTCAGAGTCCATCGTCTCTCATGGTTCGTCTACCCCTCCGATTTCCCCCGCTTCATTCTTCCCCTCCCGCTAGCTTCTTCTTCTTCTTTTTTTTTCTTAACATATATTGCATTATTTGTTTCAGAGGTACAGATCTGAGATTCAACAGTCTTGCACAATTCACAGCGCTTACCAGAGCACATACCCTCCCCAGTGTCTATCACCCCGTCACCCCATCCCTCCCACCCCACCCCCCACTCCAACAACACTCAGTTTGTTTCCTGCGATTAAGAATTCCTCATATCAGTGAGATCATATGATACATGTCTTTCTCTGTTTGACTTATTTCACTCAACATAATACCCTCCAGTTCCATCCATGTCGTTGCAAATCAGTGCCTGTATTTTTGTTGCTAGCACATTTAACAACACACGATTAGATGCATGCCTGCTTTTGCAGATGAAACGACTGGCTCTCGCCTGCATTTATATACTATCTTTCTCCATGGAGACATAAGATGTTTCACCAGTTTTACTGCTTTAATGCTCATTCAATCCCCATCAAATTCATAGCTGGGAAAGTAATACTACATTTTACTGAAGGCAATACTCAAATGTCAAAAGAGAAAATGTCTAACCAACGTGGGCCCAGAACCCAGCCACTAACCAGACGTTGACAATACTTTTACATTATCATGACAGAAATGGTGAGACAGACAAAGCCGACTGAGGTCTGTGTAGCAAGGGGAACAGGGATGCAGCGTGAGAGACCGGCAGTCTTCCAAGTGAAGGCAGCAATGGAGGGGACCACGCAGGATACATCAAGAGCCATTTTGCCAAGGAAAATGGCCTAAGGTGCCACATATTAAAAAATCAAGTCTTAGGTCTCACAGATCCCAGAATTTTCAGGCATTTGAGGAGATTTCCCACCTTGGATTGTCCCAGATGTAACAACATGCTGCATAAAATGCTAAATTAAAGAATATGATAAGAAAAAAGGATTCCTTGCTCAAATGTGTTGGGAGGAGCAACAGGTTAAACAGAACTAGTTCCTTTTCTGCAGGATTTCTCAGGACCTTTAACAACTAATATCAGAAAACTCAAAGAAAGGGACGCCTGGGTGGCACAGTCAGTTGAGCGTCTGCCTTCGGCTCAGGTCATGATCCCGGGGTCCTGGGGTCGAGCCCCACATCGGGCTCCCTGCCCAGTGGGGAGCCTGCTTCTCCCGCTCCCTCTGCCTGGCGCTGTGCCTACTTGTGCTTGCACTCTCTCTCTCTCTGATAGATCAAAATCTTAAAAAAAAAAAAATTTTTTTTTAAGAAAACTCAAAAAGGAAAAAGATTATACAGTATTTCCAAAACTTATTTTACACTCCCCTCTCACAGTCCAGAAGAATATACTAATAGCTACATCACTGCCTGACAGAATGGTAAAGTTCAAGGGGAGGAGTTTAAACCCAAACATACTTCATCTGGAGGTGAGATTATCTGCACGAACAGCAGTCCCACATTTACCACTTCGCCTTTATTTAAGAGAAACAAGGGCGCCTGGGTGGCTCAGTTGGTTAAGCGGCTGCCTTCGGCTCAGGTCATGATCCCAGCGTCCTGGGATCGAGTCCCGCGTCGGCCTCCTTGCTCCGCAGGGAGTCTGCTGCTCCCTCTGCCCCTCCTCCCACACGGTCTCTCAATCGCTCTCTCTCTCAAATAAATAAACAAAATCTTTAAAAAAATAAATAAGAGAAACAAGGCTGAACTCATTACCTTTTGGTGGTCGTCTCTGTAGGACTCCTGCTGTACCATTTCCAAAAGGTTCAAAGCCAACTGTTGCCTCGAAGGACCTTCTTCATGCATGGATATACAGTCTTCCAAGGCAGTAGAAGACAATATCTGCAGAACTGGCATCACTAGCACCCAGGATGACCTTGGAATTTTCTGACCCCCAGCAACAGAGAGGAGCTTCAAAGCTATTCATCAAAACAACAATTCACATTTAAAAAATTACTACCACAATCCAACCAAGTGCTACTTTGTTTAAGAGTGATATGCAAAAAGTTTTCTTACCCCTTTACAACTGGGTCAGACACATAACTAAGAGAATGGATCTTATCCTTTTAGAAAGGAACATAAAAATTAACGATTATCTAAAACAAGCTGTTAATGTATGTTCCTGATAACTTCAGGATACTCTTAGAGCAAATACATACCATAAAGTATAAACCAACTCTCTAAGTAAATATGACTTTCTTTAAAATACAGTTCAGCTGGGGCACCTGAGTAGCTCAGTCAGTTGAGCATCCGACTCTTGGTTTCGGCTCAGGTCGTGATTTTAGGGTCCTGAGATCAAGCCCCACATCAGGCTCCATGCTCAGTGTGGGGTCTGCTTGAGATTCTCTCCCTCTCCCTCTGCCCTTCCCCTTCTACCCCTCCCACACACACACTTGCATTCTCTCTTTCTCTCTAAAATAAATAAATAATATCTTTAAAAATAAATAAAATACAATTCAACTGTTGTCCTTATATTGTCCAGTCCTTCCACTGCTCTCAACAGAGCCAAAAGACCTGAGTTCCTGATCAGTGGATTTGAAGACCAATGTGCATGCTTCCCTTATAAACCCAGGTGAGAATTATATTGAGATGCATTAGTAAATGAGGTGAAGCAGGGATGTCCTTCACAGTAATTGCTGTGTGTAGGAAAAGTCTCAGAGTCCATAACCAGCAACAATCAAACCCATTTTCATAAATGATTCTTTTTTTAACATGGACACTCGACTTACACATCAGAAACACACACACAAATGTGTGATACCTTACTCACATATATAATCTCCCCCAGACCATTAACAGAATGAGTTAAAGCAGAAATATATTTTTCACAATTATCTGAACCCTAATTTACCAAAAGATGTTATTCACAGGCTTCTGAGCTAGATTATCAATCAATTTCCCCACAACACCAAAAAAAGTCTACAAGTTTTAAGTCATCTCAGTGAGTTGCCAATATTTTCTTTTCACCTTTTGGAAGTCAAACCTGAACATGGTATGAAGTACAAACACCTGTTACTCTAACACTGCTAATTGACCTTTTCTGCCAAAATATTAGTCTTTTTTTTAATTAAGTTTTAAAAATACGGAACCCTCACGAATGTGCATGTATCTTCGTACAGGGGGCACACAAATGTTTTCTGTATCATTCCAATCGAAATGTTAGTCTTAATCCATAATTGTCCCTGGGAGATTATGAAAATCCATTATCTTTAATAAAACAGGAAATGTACACATTTCTGTCTTTATTATAAATCTTCCAGACATTTTTATAAATTGCTATTTACAATCAAGGCTAGTGTTAATAATTAAGAAGCATAACATTGTATTAATGCTGTGCATTTGTCAAATTTGAAATCATCAATATCTTCTTGGTTATCCTATTTGAACACTCTTTCCCAATATACTAAACAGCCGATCTTCCCTACTTTTCAACATAACATACTGGATGATAGAAATGCTCTACGACTAGACTGTAGTGATGGTTGCACAACTTTGTAAATTCACTTCTTAAAAAAAGCCACTTTATTGTACACTTAAAAATGGTAAACTTTATGGTAATTAAACTATACCTCAATAAAGCTGTTTATTTTTTTTATTTTATTTTAAAGATTTTTATTTATTTATTTGACAGAGAGAGACACAGCAAGAGAGGGATCACAAGCAGGGAGAGTGTGAGAGGGAGAAGCAGGCTTCCCTCCGAGCAGGGAGCCCTATGCGGGGCTCGATCCCAGGACCCCAGGACCATGACCCAAGCCGAAGGCAGACGCCCAACGACTGAGCCACCCAGGCGCCCCTCAATAAAACTGTTTAAAAAAGAAAACAAAACCCTGGCTGTCAGTGGATGGAACTGGAAGGTATTATGTTAAGCAAAATAAGTCAATCAGAGAAAGACAATTATCATTTGATCTCACTGATGTGTGGAATTTAAGAAACAAATCAGAGGATCATAGGGGAAGAGAGGAAAAAATAAAACAAGATGAAACCAGAGAGGGAGACAAACCATAAGAGACTCTTAATCATAGGAAACAAACTGAGGGTTGCTGGAGGGGAGGAGGGTGGGAGGGATGGGGTGGCTGGGTGATGGATATTAAGGAGGGCATGTGATGTAATGAGCACTGGGTGTTATATAAGACTGATGAATCCCTGGCCTCTACCTTGGAAACCAATAATACACTATGTTAATTAATTGAATTTAAATTAAAAAATAGAAGAGGAAAAAAAAACCACCACCACCTATGGCTGTCAGAAGTACCAACCCTGGCAAATTATACCTCTGGGAAGATGCCATGTGCACCGCTAGGAGAACAACATCATCAACAAAAAAGGCAAAAGTAGTTCAGAAAGAGCCTCAGGAGGAGGGCACAAATGAGCACAAGGCCAATAGACAAAAAGAGTGCAGGAAGCCAAGGGCCCCCTCTGCGTGCTACAGCCATTCTTAAGACAGACTGTAAGTGGAAAAGGAATTCACCCTCAAAATCATGATGAATTAAAAGGCCCACAATGAGCTACACAATCAGTATCTACCTCTTTAAGCACTTTAAAATGAGAGTGGGGATGTACTGGCAGATCATGGCACCATGCAACAATTTATTTTAATTTTTGTTTTTTTTATTAACATATAATGTATTATTTGTTTTAGGGGTACAGGTCTGTGATTCATCAGTCTTACACAATTCACAGCGCTCACCATAGCACATACCCTCCCCAGTGTCCATCCCCCAGCCACCCCATTCCTCCCACTCCCCACCACCACTCCACCAACCCTATTTGTTTCCTGAGATTAAGAGTCTCTTGGGGCGCCTGGGTGGCTCAGTCATTAAGCGTCTGCTTCGGCTCAGGTCATGATCCCAGGGTCCTGGGATCGAGACCTGAATCGGGCTCCCTGCTCAGAGGGAAGCCTGCTTCTCCCTCTCCCACTCCCCCTGCTTGTATTCCCTCTCTCGCTGTCAAATAAATAAATAAAATCTTAAAAAAAAAAAACTCTTATGGTTTGTCTCCCTCTCTGGTTTCGCCGTTTTATTTTTCCCTCCCTTCCCCTATGATCCTCTGCCTTGTTTCTCATATTCCACATGTCAGTGAGATCATATGATAATTGTCTTTCTCTGATGGACTTATTTCGTTTAGCATAATACCCTCTAGTTCCATCCACGTTGTTGCAAATGGCAAGATTTCATTTTTTTTTGATGGCACCATGCAACATAACTTAGATCCTCCATTACTATATAGATGTTACCCAGAGTAAAGAGACACATCATTAGCATAAAAGCTGCATTTTAAAGGTGTGACTTGGTTGCCATCGGCCAGACCTATCAACTTGATTTTATACCGTATTTTTAAATGGAACATTTTTACCCGCCTTTAGTCCCATTCTTCACTCTTAGGACAGCCAAGATACTTGGTAAATTATGGTATATGGAGCCTTTGCACAAAACACCTTGTCGGTAAGAAAAACAAAGTTCTATTTCAGAATGATTAATTAGGAAAATTCTAGAAAACTCAAAGTATACAGGACTTTCTAGGATAGCATAATATGTAGCTCAAGAGACTCCTGCCAACACTTATGTTCTAGTTACATTTTACTCTTGTGAGGCTATTTTTATTTACCTAGACTTAGGATTGGTTTCTGCTGACTTGCTGGAGTCTGTAGCAGAAGTAAAGCTATTCCAATCGTGACCAGTTCAACAGGAAAATCCTAAAACAAAAACAAGAAAGGAGTTGAAGAAGTTCCCAGAGCCATGGCTTTTAGTAACATGTATCCAGGAAGAGTATATTTAACATGAAAGATCATCAACCTACCGTACAAAGTTATTTACAATAAGCCAGCTCTGTTCCAGGAAGGATGGTGACTCCACAGCAATCACACAGCAAAAACACAAAATGTTATCATATCTGGTCGAAGAGCAGGGGCTATACACCAAATTAATTTAAAGAGAAAATGCCTGGGCACATGGGTGGCTCAGTTGGTTAAGCGACTGCCTTCGGCTCAGGTCATGGTCCCAGGGTCCTGGGATCAAGCCCTGCACCGGGCTCCCTGTTCCACGGGGAATCTGCTTCTCCCTGTGCCCCTCCCCCTCACTCATTTTCTCTCTCTCTCTCTCTCTCTCTCCCCCCGCTCAAATAAATAAAATCTTTAAAAAGAAAATTAAAAAGAATATACCTTAATAGAACAAACAGACTGACAAGTATTCAAAAACAATCTTTCAAATTAGTGAAAAACTACCTGAAATACTAAAAGAATACTTCATTTCTGAAAAGTAGATCAACTGTCTAATCACCTAATACAGGCATGATTCATCTATATAATGTACATAAAGAACTACACTTAATGATTTTAATAAATCATATTATTTTGGGGTGCCTGGGTGGCTCAGTCGATTAAGCATCCCACTCTTGGTTTCAGCTCAGGTTATGATCTCTGGGTGCGGAGATCGAGCCCCATGTTGGGCTCCACCCTCAGTGGGGAGTCTTATTTCCCTCTCCCTCTGCCCCTCCCCACCCTGCTTGCTCAAGCGTGCCCTCTCTCTGAAATAAATCTTCAAAAATAAAAATAAATAAATCATGTTATTTTAATAAAAGAAACAGTAATACCCAAGGAGGCAGAGATTTTTTTTTAAATTACAGTAATCTATTAAGCATATTTAAATGTAACAAAGCAATAACCACAGAAACTGAAAATCATTATTTTTCACCAAGTGTATCAATGAAATGAAAAAGTAAAACGGATGTGAATATTAAGTTCTAATAAGTAAATTACAAGAGATACAAGATGTTATTTGAGCCTTCTAAATAAAGAAAACATTAACATATTCTGTAACTAAAGAAAAAAGGTCCAATACACTTTGCTAAAATTACTTCATTCTGAAATTTTACACACGCAACTGCAGAGCAGAAGTATCTATGAATCAGAGGGTGGGCAAGAAAAAAAAAGAAAGAAACGTTAGGTAGAGCCACATGTTAAAAAAAACACTTGGAGAAAACAAACTAGTCTGACAAACTCAGAAGTTACAATCTTGGAGGTGCTACTAACTTTGGCACAAATAAATATAAAATAAATACAGAGCTACATCTCAGTTTTACCATTTAAAAAGTGAAAACAAACAGCAAACTCTTCCCAAGTGCTTGTTTATGGACTTTTAAAAACCAGCAAAAGAAGAAAATTAAATCATTTTAATGGAATATTTTCTAATTTGTGTCTTTGAGCCTATACCTGCTCAGTGCTTTGAAATTTAGTTGAGAACAACAAAGCAACAGCTATTTGAGGACAATCAATGCATTTTTGAAACCAATACACTTACTATATATACCACCACACCACTCTTTGCCATGATCGTTTCCTAAATTTCATTTCATATTCTGCATATCCATTTAAAAAAGGAAGAAAATGCAGCAAGGTCATTTAAATTTCAAATTTCCTGGCTACCAAGATCAGAGACAAATGAAAGTATGACTTTATACTAAGGCTACACTCGAAAACCTTTTTCACACAAGCTATCACTGCAAGGGCCACAAAGTAGCATTTTGGGGTTCTGATCTGTACTAGGAACATGCTAAGTGGATGGAACTTTTTCTTTTGAGAGAGAGAGAGTATGCGGGGGTGGGGCAGAGGGAGAAAGAGACTCTCAAGCAGGCTCCATGCCCAGCACAGAGCCTGATGCAAGGCTCAATCTCATGACCTCGAGATCATGACTGAGCAGAAATCAAGAGTCAGATGCTTAACTGACTGGGCCACCTAAGGGCCCCTAAGTGGATGGAACTTAAAGGTGGGAAGGACCAAGTGAAAATGGCATTCTCCAAGAAGGGGGACACTGGCCTGTTCAGAATGTAGGGTGAAAGGAAATGACCTAGAGAGCAAGGCATCAAAATGAAGGAATAGTAGGGGATTACACTAAATCAGCTTAAGTTGCTTACAGTTCTGAGAAGTTTATTGTTTGATTGATTTTTAATGGAGACCAAATAACAGTAGCACTTCATGATGTCTTTTAATAAAAGACTGTGTTAAACATCTCATATGCCATTTGTAACCCTATACATATTGCTACTGTAACTTGTGCTTTTTCTGCCCCAGACCAGTGAAAGATCAGAGGACAGGACAGTTAAAGCCCCACAGGGGCTTGACAAATTGACAAGAGAAGCCCATGGATAAATGCTTCCCTCCTTCATCTGGATCCTTCTGAAGGGTTCTGAGACATATTTCATAACACTTCTCAGAATATTCTGTGCGATCAAGCAATTGGTTGTTCATAGCACTGGGCAACATGGTAATATCTGCATTACCTCTCCCATTTCCAGCATTTCACGCTTCGTGTCCCTTTCCCACTTGCTTCCTGGCATCGCCCTTGCAGATAAACTCCTGTTGCATAAACCTTGGCTTTTGTGGAAACACTGGCTCTGCTCTTGACATTACGGAAACTCGGGGACTACTTCTGGAGGAACCCAGGCTAATTCAGAGCCTATCTGGAGCAAGGAAGTAAAATACAAAAGAGGAGGAAATGCCTTTACACTGGGCCACAGATGTCACAGGACTTTTGATAACAGCAAACCTTGGAGTCCACACTTCCTGTCCTCAATTCCAATGAAAGACTGTCATGCGCACCACCAATGATGCAGGCACTAGGTACTTAGACACACACAGTGAAGAAAGGTGAGTGGAACAGAGTCAGCTGATGGCGAGGTCTTCGAGAGCACCGGGTCCTGGCCTTCCCAGTGCTTCCCCAGTGTTTAGCTCTTGCTTCCCTTTGACAGCTACCCAGTCTCCTCACAATCAGTATCATTTTTTGCCTAACTTTGCTGATAAGAGTAATGCAAAGGACCTTGGGTTATAACCACTCAAATAGAGCTAAAAATAACTCAACCAAGACTAAATCCACTGCAACTAATATAGCATAAGGAATGCATTCATTTTCACAATGCAAGGAAACATCTCCAATAGAAGAATATAAAAATAACAAAGGGGAAAAGAAAAGTTAATGTTAATATTTGAAGTGCATATCCAGCTGGTAAACTCAGTGATATAGGAAAGATATAGCCCTAGCCTAGGTAATAAGAATGTCTTTTTTTTTTTAAGATTTTTTTACTCATTTATTTAGGACAGAGAGAGATCACGGGCAGGGAGGAGGAGTAGAGGGAAAAGCAGATTCCCCACTGAGCAGGGAGCCTGATGCTGCACTCGATCCCAGGACCCTGGGATCATGACCTGAGCTGAAGGAAGACGCTTAACCGCCTGAGCCACCAGGCGCCCCTAAAGATTTTTTTTTAATTTGAGAGAGAGAAATGGAGCGGGGGAGGGGCAGACTCCTTGCTGAGCAGGGAGCCCCACTCAGGGCTTGATCTGGGATTCCAGGATCATCGTGATCTGAGCCGAAGGCAGACGCTTAACTGACTGAGCCACCCAGGTGCCCCAGTAATAAGAATGTCTTATTCTACTTTATTTTGTTTCAAATTACAGTGCATGTAGCCCTAAAGGAGATAGGTTTGCAAATTAGTTTTCCTAGGCTTTTTTTTCTTTCTTATTTTTTGGTTAAACCTCAGAAACACTGGGCCAGAGGTGGGGGTAAAAAATTACAAAACACAAGTATTTTAATAGTTCTATTCATATTTACTTCCTTCTAAATTGTTAAATATTGAGCAAAAGGAAGACACTATAAATATGACTTTCACAGGCATCACTATTGTTCTAAATTATAATATTGTGTAATTCCACAGGCCAATACCCCTAATGAACACATGTGCAAAATTCAACAAAGTATTAGCAAACCTAATACAACTGTTTATTGAAAGGATCATGTATCATAATCAAGTGGGATTTATTCTAGGGATGCAAGGATGGTTCAACAACTGCAAATCAACATGATACATCACCTTCACAGAACGAAGACTAAAAATCATATGATCACCTCAATATATGCAGAAAAAGCATCTGACAAAACTCAACAATCATTTATGATAAGAACTCTCAAAAAGGTGGGTAGAGAGGGAACATACTTCAACATATTATAGGATATATATGAGAAACCCACACCTAAAATCATACTCTATGGTGAAAGCTAAAAGCTTTCTCTAAGATCAGAAACAAGACAAGTATGTCACTGTCACTACTTTATTCAACACAGTATAGGAAATCACAGCCACGGCAATTAGGCAAAAAAAAGTGACAAAAGACATCCAAATTAAAAAAAAAGAAAACTGTTAGTATTTGCTGAAAACTATTACAATAAGTGAATTCAGTAAAGTTGCAGGATATAAAAAGCAATATACAGAAATCTGTTGTGTTTCTATACACTAATACTAAACTATCAGAATGAGAAAATTTAAAAAAAAAAAACCATATACAATTGTATAAAAAAAAAAAATACACAGGAATAAATTTAACCAAGGAGGGCGAAGACCTATACTCTGAAAACAATAAGGCACTGATGAAAGAAACTGAAGAAGACACAAATAAATGGAAAGATATTCCATACTATTAAAATGTCCCTAACACCCAGAACAATCTAAAGATTCAGTGCAATCCCTATCAAAATGCCAATGGAATTTTTCACAGAACTAGAACAAATAATCCTAAAATTTGTATGGAACCATAAAAGACCTCAAATAGCCAAGGTAATCGTAAGAAAGCTGGAGGAGGTCTCACACTTCCAGATTCCAAATTATACTACAAAGCTATAGTGATCAAAACTGTATGGTACAGACACAAAAACAGACACATTGATCAACGGAACGGAACAGAGAGCTCAGAAATAAACCCGTGCTTACATGGACAATAAATCTTCAACAAAAAAAAGGCAAGAACATACAATGGGGGAAGGACAATCTCCCGATAAATGGTGTTGGGAAAACTGGACAGCTACATGCAAAAGAATGAAACCAGACCATGGCATTACACCATACACAAAAATAAAATCAAAATGGATTAAAGCCTGAAACCATAAAATTCCTAGAAGAAAACACAGGCAGTAAGCAATCTGATGTTGGTCTTAGCAGTATTTTTTCAATGTCTCCTCAGACAAGAACAACAAAAGCAAAAACAAACAAATGAGACTGCATCAAAACAAAAAACTTTTGCACAGCAAAGGAAATTATTAACAAAATGAAAAAGCAACCTACAGAATGGGAGAAGATATTTGCTAATGACATATCTGATGAGGGGTTAACATCCAAAATGTAAAAAGAACGGTATTTTTACATGTTTTCCAAATCTTATCTATAAAATATATACAGCATATATTATATATCAATAGGTATGATTATATACAATAAATATACATCTGAATAGGCATTTAATCTATACTGATTATCATGTTATATATAACATGTTATATACTAGAGCTAACAGATTATATAACAGAGATAACAGATATATAACTACATAATATATATCATATATTACTATTACACATAATAATATATAACACCAATATATCATGATATAATATATAATATTACCTACAATGTCCCAGCAGATGTAAAACCATGCTAATCACAAGACTGACAAATTGACAAATGACTTAGTTGAGCCTTCCTTGGCTCCCACTTCCCATTAAAATTTACATTCAGTTTCTGTTTCCCACCTACCATTTACTCCTTTATTCTGATTTGGTTCTCACCACCGTCCCTCCACTGAAACTGCTTCCTCTAAGGTAAACAATAAACTTCTACTTATTGCACCCTAAGAGTTCTTTCCATACCTTACTTTAAACACTCTCTCCATGACGCTGTTGACCATTCTCCTTTCTGAGACATTCCTTTCCCTGATTTTCATATCCTCGGTCTCTTCTGTTTATCATACAATCCTTCTGGCCACACTTTCTCCTCATTTTCAGTACACTCTAGCCCCTCGAGTTCCATGAAAACCCATGTAATGTAATCCCATGGGTAAAACTCCCACCTCGAAGTAGAGGTCTACAAATCTATACCTTTAGCCTAAGCTTCTATCGTGAATTTTAAAAGCACATATCCAACTATCCACGATCCATACACACCTCAAACCAAGCATATCTAAAACCAAATTTATCCTCTTCCCTCCAATATCAGCTACCATTTCTCAAAGTGAAGGGCATCCTCCAGTTGCTCAAGAGACAGTGGAGACTCTGCCAAGGAACCTCTCCTTGACCATCTAATCAGCCACAAAGCCCTGTTGATTTCATCTCCTCCCTCTCTCTTTTCCCACTCTCTTTTCCACCCTCTTCTACTCTTTCCTATTCTCTTCCCCTAATTAGTCCCTTGCTATGGACTGAACTGTGCCTCTGCCACACAAATACATATGTTGAAGACCTAACTACCAACCTGACCACATTTGGAGCATAGAAGTAATTAAAAAATTAAATGAGGTCATAACAACGGGGCCAAAATCCAGTAAGATTAGTGTTCTTTTAGAAAGAAATAATAGCTCTCTCTTGCTCTCTCCCCATGCTGTGAGAACACAGCAAGGAGGCAGCTATCTATAAGCCAAGAAGAGATCCCTCACCAGAATCCAGTTGGTCAGCACCCGTTCTTTGACTTCCTAGTCTCCAGATGTGTGAAAATACATTTGTGTTGTTTAAGCCACGCACACTGTGGTAGTTTAAGACCAGACCCGCAGCGTAAGACATGCCTCCTCACTTCCTGCCCTAGTAGTGTAGCCCTGCTCTAAAACCTCCTCCAATCTCCTACAACGATCTTTCATATACAAAAATCTGAGGGCACCTCTATGCAGAAAGGTCTTCAATAGCATGCCATTGCCTAGAAGATAAAATCGTAAACTCATTCATGTGGCAGGCAAGACCTTTTGTGGTAGACCAGCCTTATCGCCTACACCTTCATCTGTCAACAATATGGCAGATGTTGTCTCCTGAACACGTCCTGCCTGCTCTGCTTGCTCATGTGTCTGTTTGAGCACATGCTATTCCACAACTGGAATGCCCCCCAACATCTGGTTTGAATCAGGCAAACTCCTAGGCAGACCTCCTCAAATCAGAACTCATGCCCAACTTCCCTTAACCTGTACTCCCGCTGCCCTTTACATACACTCCCATAGAAGCATTCACCTTATTGGACGCCAGTTACTTAGATTATTTATGTGCATGTCTGGAAGTCTCTTGAGGTCACAGGAAGTGTCTTTTTATGTATGTATTCTATAGGGCCTGGCAAATAATAGGTGTTCGAGACTTGCGTTCTACACACATAAATGGAAAAAAAAAATGCCCCAGTGGTAGAGCCTTAACTTGTGCTCCAAATGTAATGACTTGTTTTTATAACAGATGACAATAGTAGTACATTAAGAGTATGATCTCATGGTATTTGATCAAAACACCTTTGATATCAATGAAGTAAAAGAGCACACGCCCCCTGCTGCTGAAAGACCCAATTAAGAGAACTGACGTGTTAAAATCTCGTATTCTCCTTACCTCCTTCAGAAGTTCAACACTGTGCTCTAAAAGGTGAATTAAAGATGAGCATTCCCCAGTTATTGTTAAGCTGACTTCGCAGACACACAGCAGCTGAAGGGTCAGCTGGATAAGCTGAATTTTCCAGAAAACGGGATGACGCAGAAGGCTTAAATATACTTCCTCAATAAACAGCATCACTTCTGTTGTCTGGATCAAATCTTTTACCTGTTTAAAAAAAGTCATTACATGATATTAAAATAATATACAAAACAAAGGATAATTTTAAACTATGTAAGAAGTATTAACAATCTTTTTTTTCTAAACCTATAAAGACTTAAAGAGATGAAGACATTTACATGACTCAAAGAGAATTAAACCATGTATAAACTCTGCCTTATTTTTGTCACTAACCAAAATACAATTTGCTACCATTTTTGTTACTGCTGGCTGACACAAATTCTTTTCATTTATTTTTCTGACTTCTCTGAGTGCAGATTCTTCTTTAAGACAAAGTACATGACCATGCCAACATGTTGAAGGAAATTAATTAAAGTTGGTTTTGAGCTCTCCAAATGAACCCGCCTTTCAATGATTCCAACACAGTTACCTGGAAGAAAAGGGTTAGCATGTTATTCTAATGTACTACTAAGCCCTTCATCTGGAAGATATTTGCTCAGACAACCTTAACTGACAGCATCATTTCCACACTTGGCAGATGCAATGAAAGACCATATTCAAATGGTAGGGTGTCTTCTCAACAGGCTAATGCATTAGATAGGAAGGACTTGGGTGCTCTTGAAAATCCCAATTCAATTCAAACCCAGCTGTTCCGATCAAAATTCTGGAGTTGGTATTAAGGATATGGTCCTGCTCACAGACACATTGGCATTTACCAGAAATTACAAACAATGAACCATCTGCTTCAATCAGAAGCCTTGTGTCTGTTAAATTCATCAAGAGGAAAGCCTACAGTTGACCAGCTGTACCTTTCACCAATCGTTACCACCATAATAACCCAAAAGGACTATAAGTTACACAAAGAGAAAAATTAATTCCTCACAAACAGGAGGAAAAAAGATATTAAAAGATCAAGAGAGAAGAGATAGAAAATACTAAGTTATAAAAAAAAAATAAATGTGAACCGTCAAGTAACTAAATTATTTTACTCTTTTGCAAATCTACAGTGGGAAAGGCAAAAGGCCACCAATAAAAGGGATTTATTTTATTTTTTTTTTTAAAGACTTTATTTGACAGAGACAGAGAGAAAGAAGGAACACAAGCAGGGAGAGTGGGAGAGGGAGAAACAGGCTTCCCACCGAGCAGGGAGCCCGATGTGGGGCTCGATCCCAGAACTCTGGGATCATGACCTGAGCCGAAGGCAGATGCTTAACGACTGAGCCACCCAGGTGCCGCCAAGAAAAGGGATTTAAAACAAGACAAAGCCTCATGTTTATTGGACAATATATTTCCTTGAATGTATTTTTTGTGTATACTTGAAATTTTCCATAATAAAAAAAAAAATTTTGGACAATTCAGCAAGTTAGCATTACAGGCTCTCTAACTGTTAATATTACCATAATTTTTAGCAATACTTGTGAAGTAATGTTCTATCTTGATGTAGCGACAGATTATGTGCAATGGATAACATGTACAATGATGAGACTCACAATTAAAAAAAAGGAACTATCTGGACCAAAGTCAACAGTAAAGTTTAAGGCAGGTAAGTAAAAAACAAACAAATACAAATACAAAATGGAAGAGCAACAGGCATGAAAAGAAACTAGAAATTTCATTAACCATCGTTTCATCATGGGTCAATAGGTGGCATGGCTATTTCTAAAATAACACTTTTTTAACTGACGAGATTCTATTCACATGCACAGTATGGGTCAGACCACAAATATAGGAGCGTATTCAGCTCTAAAAAGAACATTTCATAGTAACACATTCTGAGCGCTACTAAACTAGAGAATTCCTGGCAATGGACAGTTCTGAAAACCCTAGTACAGAAAGTGATGAAGGAAAGAAAGGAGGGAAGGATGGAAAGGAAGAAAGGGAAAGAAGAGAGAAAGAAAGGACACAAAAGAGGACGCAGATGGGCTTTTTTAAAAGCCTATTTTGTTTTGTTCTATGAAGAATGGAAACTAATGGGTAATCTCAGGAAAATGCAGGTCAATTAGAAGCACTTAAAAAAAAATGTTGCCTTGCAAAATGGCATGCTTCTTATCACTAAAAATTTAGTCATGGGATGGTTATCTCAGAGTTTAAGAAATACCTGTAATCAATGGGAAAATGGATTACGTTCCCACTAAAAATCTGATGCTCAGATTCTTCATACTCTAATAAAGCCAATTTGTTAAGTGATTACATGTATTTATGTTGCTAGTTCCATTAGTTCCAAATGATGTATCTATCATCTTTTTTTCTTTGCCTATCTCGACTATATTAAGAAGTCACAGATTCCCCAAAATATCTCACAGAGCTCACTTGTAGAAGTTATTTAGGCTTATAAATATAGGTTCATGAGGATGAAGGCAAACATCCACCAAAGAACACAGAACTGGGTAATGCAAGCATGAGGTGGGAAAAGTGTACCCCATTTCAAGATGTTCTGCCTATACATTGTTTTATTGCCCACACAAAGCAAAAGCTTTGGAAAAGCCACAGGAGAATTCATTTTAATTAACTTTTCTCTGCCTTGATTACAGGAAAGTCTATTTATGAGTCACAGAGGAAAGATTCACTCTAGTCACTCTTTGCTAACACAAACTTAAAACAGGTCATCTGTGACCTCAAGTGATCACTCTGAAAAATATTCACAGATTCCCTCTATCAGCTAAGCAGCATGGCGCTCAGATTCTAGGCAAACGAGAAAGCTCGACGATGAGGAGGACAGCCTGATAAATTAATCACTACACTAACATCACAACCCACTGGCAACTGGCATTTTTTTTTTAAATCTGCAGTTATAGAGACATTAGCTCATACTTATTTCTCCCTTGAACTTCCTAGGCATTCTATCCATACCTGTTAAACATCTTTTACCCATCTACTTCGAATTATGAGAATTTATATACTTGTCTTAACTCCCTTCCTAGACTGTGGGCTTCTCAGGAGCAGGAAACATCAGGGTCACCACGTACGTTGTAAGGAGACATGTGGAAACTGGAATCTAGCCAGCACTCAGCTGGCCAAGCCCTGCATCTCCAGGGCTGTATCTACCCAGAGGTACACCTTTTTCTAATTTGTACAAGATTTTTCTAATCTTGTAACTCTCTTGTGTCTAACACAAAGAGAAACTCAACTCAAAATTCTTTACCCTGAGAAGTCTTCCTTGAACAACAGAAAGTTTGCATTCTTACTGATCCTAAAATGGATTATGTTGACTTATAGGTCTGTGAACTTGGTTAACACGCTACGTGTAAATGTTAAATCTAGATTTGGTTCCTTCCTCATCTCCAAAAGCCAGTGAGCATTCCTGGAACCAGGCTTGTATCGGATTTGCAAATCACATAGGTTCTACTCTACGCATGACGGTAACAACCAACAGTTACTGATGCTGCTGTTGTATCAATGAAGGAGGACGAGGGGCCTTACCTGCAAACACGGAACCATGTCACAACACAGCCGAAGTATCTGTTGTTCCAAGATTGATGGTTGTTCTGGGTCACCAGGAACCCCCGGTTGAAGTAAGACTTTGAGCAGCGTTAGTCGCAATTTAGCATATTCTTGCAACTGGGATGGTTCGCAATATAGATACCATAGAAATGGTGCCATTATTTGGATACATGAAACTTCTGACCTGCAAATCATTCATGCATAAGCCAGTCACCAAGTTAAACAGGGTACCAAGCAGTAATTGTCAAACATCAACTTATAGTTCATGACACACTAGGATACCATGGAATATAACTTGTTTTTGTGATTCTTCAATTCCACCATGACCTACCTGGATCCATGCCAAGCAAGCCTTTGTGTCCTGGGGAAAATGACAACACCTGGAGCCCACAAGCCAGAAGCCCAGGACTACAAGAACCTCTACTTGCATACTAAAATAGCCTCTGCATCTGCAGGACCAGGCTTTGGTGAACATCAAAATGATCCTAGAACCTTTTTGGAATTGTAGATGTCAGGATGCACTCTTCAGGAATAGGACATGGGCATGCATTTTTGGAAAAACTCTATAGATGAAGTTCTACGTAAAACAAAACCATACAGACATACCAAGAAGCCTATATGAACAGTTAACATTTACTTGTCAAATGGTTAACACATGTGGTGTCCAAGCTATTGCACTTTATGCCTTTCAATTCATGTCATCCTCATCACAACCCTACGAAATAAAATCATCCCGTTACACAGATGCAGAAACGAAAGCAGAGAGGGGTAAAGTAATTTGCCAAGTCCTTCCTCTTAAGCTCTTCCCACTCAAAGGAGGAAGGCTTTACAAATCTTTCTTATATATTTAGATTTCAATACATCTCAGTAACTCCACATCCAAAGTCACTAAAATGCCAGAATGACCCTTGAGGTATATACATTTGATCAGGTCACCAGCTTAAAAGAGTGTGCCCCTTAAGATAAAGTATTTAGTCCAATTCACAAACCTTCCATAATTTAGCCTCTGCTTGTCTTTTCAGCCTCATTTCTTGCTCCCCTCTGCTCTCCACTGAGCTACACTAAATGTATTTCAGATGTCCGATCAAGTACTCTGAGCTTTCTTCCCATTTGCTGTTTCTTCTACCTAGAACATTCTCTGCTTTCTTCCTTTCCTGTTCCTTCCTCTGCTAATTCCTGTCATCTTCCAGTTCTCTCCTTTAAAATGACTCCCTGAGGGCCTTCCCTAGCCTAAGGCAGATCCCCATTATGTGCTTCCACAGGACAATGAATATATTGTCATTATTTACTTAATATCTCTATCTCGGGCCAGACTATAAGCCAAATGACAGCATGAATTTCTGTTAACTGCTGTTATCACCAAGAATGACATACTAGGCCTCCCAAGAGACTTTCAATCACTAAATTAATCGATTCAATTATACTACATCATAGAGTAGTTTTACAATTAGCATGGATCAGGGCGCCTGGGTGGCTCAGTTGGTTAAGCGACTGCCTTCGGCTCAGGTCATGATCCTGGAGTCCCTGGATCGAGTCCCACATCGGGCTCCCTGCTCGGCAGGGAGTCTGCTTCTCCCTCTCCCGCTCCCCACTCTTGTGCTTGTGCTCTCTCACTCTCTCTCTCAAATAAATAAAATCTTAAAAAAAAAAAAAAAAAAACCAATTAGCATGGATCAGATATCATAATTTTATTTTACTGTTTCATATTTATTATAAATAAGGAATTATTAGGTAAGATACAAAGGTGAACAGGCATTATCTATTCTTTTTTTTTTTTTTAAGATTTTTATTTATTTGACAGAGAGACAGTGAGAGAGGGAACACAAGCAGGGGGAGTGGGAGAGGGAGAAGCAGGCTTCCTGCTGAGCAGGGAGCCCAATGCGGGGCTCGATCCCAGGACTCTGGGATCATGACCCAAGCTGAAGGCAGAAGCTTAACGACTTAGCCACCCAGGCGCCCCAACATTATCTATCCTTAAGAGGCATACAGGCTAGGGGGCGCCTGGGTGGCTCAGTCAGTTAAGCTCAGATTTTGGCTCAGTTTGTGATCTCAGGGTCATGGGATCAAGCCCGGCACCAGGCTCCACGCTGAGCACCGAGCCTGCTTGGGATTTTCTCTCTCCCTCTGCTTGTGCAAGCTCTCCCTCTCTCTCACTCAAATAAGTAAATCTTTAAAAAAAAAAAAAAAAAAGAGGCATACATCTAACAGTGGCAATCAGCCGTGTTCCTGGACTAGAGGACAGAAAGTGAAAACTTCTAAAAGAAAGGTATAAAGCGCAATACTTCAATACTTCATGGAGGAAATGCTATTTGAATTATGCTTGACAAACATAATTTTCTAATACTATACATTACACAGCAATGTGATTTCAAAACACCATTAACCTTAATAAAAATTTTAAAGTTACCAAACTGATAATATTTATTTATTCATTGATTCTCTTGGCAAAATTTACTGAGTACCTACAGCATCCCCTTCACTATTCTACGTGCTAGAAACAAAGCAAGAAACAAGAATACTCGTTCTGATGGAGCTCACAAGCTGGAGGAATTTTTTCCTTATGAAACAAATATTTACAAAATCTATAAAAAACTTCTGAGGACTTCTGAGTTCATAATTATTACTGAAACATGCCTTTATCATACCATCCATTTTAGGAAACCAAAAAAATCTTCAAAGATCAAGCAAGCAGACAATGTATGTGTAGGTTAGAATATGAAAAGTTTCCAGAGAGACTGAAGAAACATTGTTTCCCCATCTCTAATAATGCATTTCCCAAAGAATAAACACTATCCAGGTGTCAACAACATCCACAAATAGCTTATCAGTTTTCTCCTACTTTGAGATGCTGAGTGCAAACTGCAAGGTTCATAAAGAAACATATTTCCAAGACGCTATTATTGTTTGACATCACGAACATAATGCTAAGCTTCTTTAGGACAATATACTGTTTAAAAATCTCCCTGGCTTGGCACCTGGGTGGCTCAGTCAGTTAAGTACCTGCCTTTGGCTCAGGTCATGATCCCAGGGTCCTGAGATCGAACCCCATGTCAGGCTGCCTGCTCACTGGGGAGCCTGCTTCTCCCTCTCCCTCTGCCTGCCACTCCCCCTGCTTGTGCTCTCTCCATCTCTGTCAGATGAATAAATAAAATCTTTAAAATAAATAAATGAATAAAAAATTAAAAAAAATAAAAATCTCCTTGGCTTAATCTGTCCTGATTTTAGATTTTGTATCTCCTACATGGTGTCTGATGACTATCATTTCAGGGGGTATAAATTGACAGATCTGAAGGAGAAAAGAAATATAATAAAACAGACAACCTGAAATCCCAAAGTGATTAAGAATGTTTACAAACATAACTAACTGTGCATGTATCTATCTACACACAAGTCTTTCTTTATGTTCATGGAGGGAGAAGTGAGAGGGGAAAGCTCGGAATAAGAGTCAAGAAACTGAGGCTTGGGGCGCCTGGGTGGCTCAGTCATTAAGCGTCTGCCTTCGGCTCAGGTCATCATCCCAGGGTCCTGGGATCGAGCCCCGCATTGGGCTCCCTGCTCCACGGGAAGCCTGCTTCTCCCTCTCCCCCGGCTTGTGTTCCCTCTCTCCCTGTCTCTCTCTCTCTCTGTCAAATAAATAAATGAAATCTTAAAAAAAAAAAAAAAAAAAAGAAACTGAGGCTTTAGGCCCATCTCAACCACTAACTAACCATGTGACCTTGAGAAAGTCATTGGATATTGCTTTCCTTCATTCCTTCATCTGAGATATTATGTGTGAGACTAGATAAACTTTAAAGTACCAGGCCTAGAGACAATGACGTCATTGACAATTTATGCAATTCTCAGGTCTTAACGTCTCAGGCCTTCTATAAATGAATGCAGAATTTAATTAGAAAATAATGCCCAAAAAAACTAGCATGAAGATAAACTGTCATGTCAGGACATTTACATACTATTAAAAATGAACCCAGTTAATCAACAATTCCTAACACAGGAAGAACCAGAATACAAGCTCTCTTCACAACATTTTGCCTTCTTCCCCTAGTTGTGAATCACTATTTATATTCTTAGTAAGTTAAATCACCAATCTTCCTTCATTACCTTCCAAACAACTAAAGTTACTAAGTACTAAGTTACTAAGCTAACTTGCTTTAAAATTAAATCTCAGGAAACTAATGGTCTGCTGAAAAATGCAAACCAGAAATATCAATTTCATTCTGCAAAGACTAACCCCATAGTATAAAAGTGAAAACAAGGCAACTGAAATTATTCTTAGCAAATAAATTTAATATAGAACTTCCAAAAGGCTCTAGATATCATAATCTAACACGTGAGAACTTGAATGAAAAGAGTCAATAGAAGCTTATCAGTGAAAAAACCCAAGTCAATTAATAATCTTTTTTACCTTATGAATATCTGGACATATTTCATTAGGAGAACTACTTCCAAATCCCAATATAATACTCCTTTGAAATGAAGATAACCAAAAGGTAATTAATTACATGATGGCTAACTCAAGAATTGGAAAAGAAAGATATTCTCGAGGATTACCCTAAAAACAAGCTTAATAATAAATTTGGAAAAAATAAAAAATAAAAAATAAATAAATTTGGCACCACAGCAATAGCATCTTTTATGAAATATCCTAATCTATTTAACAAGAGTGAGAAATTTCATTTAAAAAATGTATTTATAAGTTTGCTATTTTTACTTTCTGACAAAGATGAACAAAGACTTATTTAGGAAATATTAATATCTTCCCTTTGAAAATGCAATCTAGGTGAGGGAAAAGAGGATAGTGATGTTTATGTTGGGCTATCATCCAAATGTCACATTAATTTTTCTCACCAGCAGATGATCCAAGGTTCCCTATGTCTATTAAAACTTCCTGTGGCAGTACACCGTGCCTAGAAATCCCGTCTAACATTGAAGTTATGGACTTAGAAATGGTGTTCTAAGAAACTGTAATGAATAGGACACTGTAAGACCTTCAAGAGCAAGAAAATATGAATATAACTGGTGTGGTGAATGTAACTCAGGCACTGGATTACCTCAGACAATTGTATCCTATCATGACCTTGCATGATGGTACTAAGTACGCAGTGATATTTTTATATTAGGAGGCCCTCTGCAACCCACCTCATCTACATAAATTCAGTAGTTAAAGAGCACCTAGAAATGCGCCAAGCTTTATTAATACAAAGACTAATGAGAAATGGTCTCTGCCCTCAGAAAGTTTTCCCAGAAAGGAATTATAATACAATGAAATACAATAATGTTACAAATCACAGCTGAAAGTTACTATGAGACCACATAAAAGAGACACCTCATTCAGCTTGGTAAGCAAGGACTTTCGAGCAGAGAGATTTAAAATAGAGAAATGAGTCAGGAAAGGGTTGGGGTAAAATTCAAGAGTAAAGGAGGTACTGATAAGCAAAAGCACGGAGGTAAGGGAACAGCATGGCTTTCCGTGTGGAACCGAAAGCAAGTCTGAGTACTGCTGAATACACCATTCATAAATTAGTAAGTCAAGAGAAAACTGGGGAAATAGGTTGACTGTGTGAGAAAGAGAGCCTAGCATAACAAACTCGATTTTACCCTCTAGCCCAGGGATTTTCCAACTATTTTGGAAGCCACACTATTGTTTGCCAGTAGAAAGCTGCCATAAGATATCAACATGTAAGTTCTATAGAAAGAGCTAACGGGGTAGAGGGCAGTCCCCATGCTCAGCCCACACTATGCAAGTGCAGTTTTAAAACCACAATTGTGTTAACTTAAGCAAGGGAGTGATACAATAAAATTTACTCTCGTTTTTTGTTTTTTTTTTAAAGATTTATTTGTTTGAGAGAGAGTGCACGTGCACAAAGAGGGAGAGAAAGAGGGAGAAGCAGACTCCCCACTGAGCAGGGAGCCTGACATGGGGCTCCTTCCCAGGACCCTGGGATCATGACCTGAGCCAAAGGCAGACCTTAATTGACTGAGCCACCCAGGTGTCCCAAGATTTACTTTCTTGACATAACACCCTGCTGGATGTTTAGAGAGTTGCTCTGAGCAAGACAGGATTGGAGGCAGAGATGTCAATTAGGAACAGGTGGCAAAAGCCACAGCAAGAGATGAGGATATGCGCTGGCGTCATGGCAGTAAGAATGGAAGAAAGGGGGTAGTTTTTGAGGACCATCAGAATGCCCTGGTGAAGCTAAACTGAGCCCATATGTGGCGGTATTACTTGATCCCAATTGGCAGGTTTCCAATGGAGAGCACTCACTACTCAATTCCCAGGGGGAAGAAGCTATCTTTTCTATGTATTGTGTAGTAGCTTACCTAGTATTTCTAGTCAACTTTCCTAACTAATCAATGCTTAACTTTTTTTTTTTAAGATTTTATTTGAGAGAGAGAGAGAGAAAGAGCATGAGCGGGGAGGAGGGGCAGCGAGAGAGGAAGAAGCAGACTCCCCACTGAGCAGGGAAGTCTTAACTTTAATAATAGCTTTTCTCATATTCAATATTTCAACCATCAATTAGATCTGGTAGGGTTTTGTTTTGTTTTGCCTCTTACTCTTAAAAAGAAAACATTACTATATTATGTTCTAAAACATTTCTTTTCTTCAAAACAACATAGTCAAAGTAGCTTTAAAAAAAGCAAAACAAAAGCTCTAAAATGAGCATATGCCATTCCATCTCCCTCATTTATTTTATTTTACATTACCTTTCAGGGCATTGCTGGAAAAAAGCCGTCAGCTGCTGCAAAAGTACTGGCCAGCAGTCAGGTCTGTGTTCAAGCATAGTGATCAAAGGCTGAGGATGATTTCTGAAAAGCACAGAGAGTCACATTGGAAGCTGTTGTTTACGGACTACAAATTCTCAATATCCAAAAAGAGCAACAAGGGCCAATGCCATCTAGCAACTTTTTTCCAGGATGCAAAACTATCATTTGTTGCAGAGTTGGGTCATTAGAACTAACATTTTTTCCCTTTATCTACCTGTTTTGCAGAAAAGAGAATCAATTCTGAGTCTTAGGGATCCAAATTTGAGCACGAACTCTGCCACACAATAACTCTGGGACTTTGGCCAAGCTCTTGAATCCAGGAGCTCGGTCATATCCATCTCCTTGGGTTTCTTTATTCCTGGAAATCTTGGGCCACCTCCCCCTCCTCTCTTTCCAAACCTGGAAGGTTCTATTTCCTCTAACATTGCCCCAAGTTATACGCACTCTCTCCTTCTCTGTTCCTACTTACCCCCTGTTCTTCTCAGTGTATGGCTCCATTCCTCCAGCATATTTAAGATAAGGAAAAAGAAAACATTTCTCCCATCTCAAAATAAACTCTCCAAACTGAAAATTCTTAAAATTTCTACTGAACAAGAATGAGAATTTTTATTTGGGCTACATCCATTAATATACCTAAAGAGACTACAAAACATAAGATCTGAAATCTGCAGGATTCTCCAATAATGAGGTTTAAGAAAAAAAAAAAACAAACACAGGTTATTTTAAATAGTTCAAAAAGCCTATTAGAAATAGTAAATTCAGGGGCGCCTGGGTGGCTCAGATGGTTAAGTGTCTGCCTTTGGCTCAGGTCATGATCCTAGGGTCATAGGATCAAGTCCCGCATCGGGCTCCCTGCTAGGTGGGGAGCCTGCTTCTCCCTCTGCGCCTCTCTCTCTCTCTCTCTTACTCTCATGAATAAATAAATAAAACATTTTAAAATTAAAAAAATAGTAAATTCATTAGCTTTTTAAACTATGATGTACTATACAAAACTTTTAGTTATTATTGATATGGCTTTTTCCTCCAAAAAAATTAATAAAACAATTGTAAAAAAAAAAATCAACCTTTCCTTTTTTACATAAAAGGAATCATATACATAATACTCTTTAATCTCAAATTTTAACCTTACAATGTATCTCCAGCAATGTTTAAAAAAAAAAAAATCAAGCCATCAATTAAACCCAAATGACTTTTTTTTTTTTAAGACTGCCTTCTTGGTGATTCTCAAAATGTGATCTCCTTAAGGTCAGTAGCAATCACCTGGGAACTTGTTAGAAATGCAAATGGATTCGCAGGCCCCAGCCCAGACCTAATAAATAGCCCTCCAGACAATTCTGAGGCCCTGCTATAAAGCAGTGGTTCTCAATCCTGGTTGCATGTTTGATTCATCTGTGGAGCTCTTTTAAAAATACCGATACCCACCCCCCCCAAAAAAAAAACAAAAACAACAAATGATACCCAGGCCTCAATTATATTGGGGTTGCTAGGAGTGGGGCACAGGCATTAGTCATTTTTAAAAACTCTTCCAGCAATTCGAACGTGTTGCCAGAGTTGAGAACCACTACAAGGAAAAAAGCCCCAGAAGAGGGAGGTGAAGAGTCAGCAAGTTTTCGGATGTCTCGCTCCTCTTAAACAGCAAAGTATGGCAGGTCCGTCACATGGAAACTCTGCAGTGAGGCACGGCTCTGACATGACTCCACAGTTCCCTCATATCAGAACGCCATCTCCTGACGTGCTCCTCAGCCTCACCTAATCTATCACGCACTAGCGTCACTTCCTGGCAGCCTCCCGTTTGTCACAGCACAGGCTATTTCTGACTGATCAGATGACTGCCATTGCTAAGGGATCGCTCCAACGCTTTCTGCCAACACTCAAAAATCCTATTTCCAAATTCCAAACTCACTGGCACTTAAACCTACCTAGAATTGCTTCTGCTGTAGCTGCCATAGATGTTAACAAACAAATGTTCCAGATCCTGACAGTCTCCCAGGAATGTCACATCAGCCAAACTTCTAAGGCTGAGAGTTCAGTAGGTCATGTTCCAGTAGACATGAATAAAAAGGAAAGAACAGCACCTGCAATCATTTTAGGTATGGGTTTGGCTCCTGCCAAGCACCATATTGAAATGAGGAGCATCACACAGGACCATCCATTAATCCTCCACCTAATGGTGGCATTTATGACTATTTAAGAAGAAAATCCAACAAGTTATCACGTCATTATGTATTATCACACATCGTGTGTGATCATAAAGCACTTAAGTGCTTTTCAATACTCTTCCCTTATAAGTTATTCCTTCCCCCATCTCGATCCTCACCCCCCACAAAAAAATCAAGTATCTATTGTTTGGGTGGGTTTTTTTTTTTTTTTTTTTTCTATCTACTGTTTAAGATTTTTGTCCAAATTAAATCGGGTCAACAGAAATAAGAGGTAGTAATTTTAAAGTAGGATCAGAGGGCGCCTGGGTGGCTCAGTCGGTTAAGCGGCTGCCTTCAGCTCAGGTCATGATCCCAGGGTCCTGGTAACAAGCCCCATGTCCAGCTCCCTGCTTGGTGGAGAGCCTGCTTCTCCCTCTCCCTCTGCCTGCCACTCTGCCTACTTGTGCTCTCTCTCTCTCTCTCTCTGTCAAATAAATAAATAAAATCTTAAAAAATAAAGTAGGATCAGGAATGCTGCACATATGGCCAATGTAACTTAGCTTCTACTACACTGGGATTGTGGGAACCACTCTAGCTTTGTTGCATGAAGCTGAAGGCCTGTTTTGCTAGCCGTTGGATTTAGCAAAGTCTATTTAGTATCTCAGACTTAAACACTAAAGATGAGACGAAGTAGAATATAGGAGAATAGGGATTATCCAGATTAATTACTGATTTAGACATCTGGATAATTAACTTTTCCAAAGAATTGATTACGTCTGATCCAAGTGCAAATATTGCAGAGAATAATATACAATATTGATTCCAAGAACCTCTCTTGAGGCAGAAGGGAAGTCCAAAATAAGAACATTGAATCTTACTAGTGATTAACATTTGATTATATCATACTATTTCAACTGAATACAACTAACCTAAAATCAATTATAATTGCCAAAATTTTGTTTTAATACTTTGAGCATAATGAAGAGCTAAATTCTCCCTTGTGAATCATCAAATTGGTGTGCAAATACAAATCTAGAAAGCTTTATGCTTACTAGGATGAATGCATTTTCTAATTCAATATACTTTATGGTGCAACTGCCATGCATGAAGTTTTCTCAGTCTTTGCACTACTGCTATTTGGGGTCAGAGAATTCTTTTGGGGGTCGTCCAATGCACTGAAGGATAGTTAGCATTCCTGGCCTCCACCCACAAGATGCTAATAGCATTCAATATAGTTATGACAATCAAAAATGTCTCCAGACATTACCAAGTGTCCCCTGGGGGGCAAAACTGCCCCTGGTTAAGAACCTTTGCGTTACTGTAAAATGACAAGCACTTATGAGAGGCACAAAACTGATTAAACCATGGTACCATTCCAGAGCTATTAAAAAAAAAGACTATGATTCCACCTCTACCCTTCCTTACACTGAACCAAATGCAATCGATCATACTCAAATGTCTATAAGAAATATAGTCATCAAATATTAACATTAGGTGCGCAAGAGTAACACAATACAGCAGAAACTCCAGAATTTTAAATGGAAAACTCATGGAAAATTATTCCTTTGCAAAATACAGAATCATGTTCCAAAATAAACAGTATTCAATAATATACCTACTAATTTGGATATGATAGAAAATGGTCATTTTTCTATTTAAAATATTATCATTGGAATATTTAAGATGTCATAAGGCTAAGTATAATTCATTCTTGATGCATTCAGGGACTATTAAATTTATGGATTATTCAAGATTTCTCTTTTCCTTCTTCCCCTCATTCACTACTCATTAGCCATTCCACTTCGTTCAAGTACATCCAACTGAGAAAGGTCAAGGTAAATGGAAGGATCCACGGTTTAAACAAGTCCCCTCTGTTCTTCATTAGAAGCACTGTTGATCAAAAAAAGAATGTGGTACAAAAGAACACCAAGCAAAACCTTAGTTATGCCTTAAAATTTCACTTATCCCCAAACCCGTTACTCAAGTTATACAAAGTTGACTATAACACCTTATTCAAAATGGTAGATGGGTTGACCATACAATCAACCTGATCACTTGTAAAATTAATAGTGGCAGACAATAAGCTATGCAAGTTTTGAGGAACAAATACAACCATGGGATGCTGTCATCATTATTATTCATACAAGCAGTGCCTACCTAGCTTCGTTGGAATCACTTACTGTTTCCTACCTCGGAAAAAAACTGCAAGCAGAGAGGAGAGGGAAAATAGTGAAGGGAAAGCAATGAACTAAAATGAACTAAAAGGGTCAAGAGTTCCATATTTACATTCTGGCTCTGCAACGAACCGTGTGATCTCAGGCAAGAGAATTAACCTCTCTTGGGCAAAGTTTCTTCGTCTATAAAATGAGGACATCAGACTAAGTAGCTCCCAGTGCTAAAGATAGACAATGCAAGCCATCCATTAAAGGCCTAACCTTCATACTGCTCTGGACTAAATGTAGGACCAAACCCTGGAAAGGCAGAAAGCAGTACAGAAGGCTCTCAACTGTTAATAATTCTATGCCAAGCTTACGTAGCTCTAAGGCTAATGTTTAATAAAATCTAAGCCTCACAAAGGAGTCTCCTATTTTTTTAATTTTTTTTAAAGATTTTATTTATTTGCTTGAGAGAGAGTGAGACAGCGCAAGAGAGAGAGCACAGAGGGGGAGGGAGAAGCAGACTCCCCGCTGAGCAGGGAGCCCGATGAGGGACTCGATCCCGGGACCCTGGGATCATGACTGATCCCAGGTGCCTCAGGAATCTCCTATTTCTAATCTCAAAGAGATAAACCATAGCATATTTATTTCAGAGAGAAGTACAGTGCCCAGAATGAGCACAAATTTTCAAGTCAGAATTTCCCAACTCCTGAGACATCCAATAGATTCTGCTCTCCTCTTAAAAGGG